TCCAGGTCACATTCCAGATATGCATGCATCCTGTGTTTTTGTAAGGTGGAAACATACTTTGTCTTCTTTTGTGGGTGCTGCGTAATATGCAGATGGTAACATGCTTCAAATATTTCCATGCATGACTCCTTTTATGGATCTGTCATTCCCACAAAATAGGGTATCGAATTAGGTTGTAAAATGAGGGAAAAAGTAATAGTAGGTTATCCTCACTTTGGCATTTGATAGTTCAACCAGAAATTTCCCCTTAAAGTTGGATGTTTACAGTGTAATTTAACAACTGTGGTATAAATTCTTATTTTATAAAACAGTTGTATTAAAAATTTTCCAATATCCATTAAATTTTAGCCAACTTTTAGTTTTACTGTGCATATGATATGAAGTAATTGCCAGTTAGAGAAAGAAGATATTGTTGCAAAAGAGTGAAAAAGGAAAAATCTTCGTTAACTGCATTTTTTTTAAAGATTTTATTTTATTTATTTGACAGGCAGAGATCACAAGTAGGCAGAGAGGCAGGCAGAGAGAGAGAGGAGGAAGCAGGCTCCCTGCTGAGCAGCAAGCCCGATGCGACTCCGGGCTCAATCCCAGGACCGGGAGACCATGACCTGAGCCTAAGGCAGAGGCTTTAACCCACTGAGCCACCCAGGAGCCCCATAACTGCATTTTTTTTTTTAATGAAATTCCTATTCTGGATACATTTGAGTGTTCTTCACTTTGTAAAGTAAAATGCATAAGTAAAGTGAAAAGTGAAACACACGATATTTTTATTTTCAAAACTTGAAGGATTTATATAATATCTTATAGAAGTATATAAATAATACAAAAGTTTACATGTTATAAACTTATGTATTTATATAATTATAGAGTGTTATATAAATATACAATAAAGATAAGTTATTATATATAATATATTTATGATTATTAATATATAGTATGTAATATAAAATATATGTATATAATTTATTTATCCTGATATGTATATTCCAAAATTCACAGTTATAAAATTGTTTCTCGGGGTGCCTGGGTGGCTCAGTGGGTTAAAGCCTCTGCTTTCGGGTCAAGTCATGATCCTAAGATTATTACCAGACAGAAGTTAGAGTATGTTGGTCACATGACAAGGATTAATACAGTGAAACCACTTAAAGAAGAAAGAGCCACACAGAGAGAAGATATTTTAATAGAGATGAAAACTGAAATCAGTGAAGGATAAGGAGGGCAAGGACTTGATTGTGTTGGTTTTTCTAGCCAATGTCCTTTATCTTCCTTCTTCCTGGACCCTATTTTCTTTAGATGTATATTCTTTGGGCTTGTTTCTTTGTTTTGGTTTCATGTAATATGTATTCATATACATAAGCTTTTAAAAGGAAAGTGTTTAGTCATTCTTTTCTTTTTCCAGTTTTGCTGAGATATAATTGATGTATGACATTATATTAGTCCAAGGTATTTTTTTTTATTTTAGTCCAAGGTATTAGCACAACATAACATGTGATAGATACACTTATTGCAAAATGACTGCCCAGTAAGTTTAGTTAACATCAGTAACCTCACATAGCTACACATTTTTTTTCTTCCAGTAAGAACTTCAAAGATCTTCTATTGCTAACTGTCACCATTCTGTACATTTTTCTAGGACTTACTTATAACTGGAAAGCACCTTCACGCATTTCCTTTACCACCTCCATCGCCACCTCTAGCAATGACCAATCTGTTCTCTGTATCTATGAGTTCAGATTTTGTAGATTCCACATATGTGACATACAGTTATTTTTCTCTCTCTTCTGACTTATTTCACTTGCCCTCAGGGTTCATCTGTGTTGTCACAAATGAAGGGCAGGATTTTCTTCTTTTGTTGTGGCTGAATAATAGTTCTGTGTGTGTGTGTGTGTGTGTGTGTGTGTGTGTGTGTGTTTCTTTATCCATTTTTCCATTGATGGACGCATAGGTTGTTTGCATGTTTTGACAATGATAACTAATACTTCAGTGAACACAGGGTGCAGGTATCTTTTTGAGATAGTGATTTCATCTTCAGATAAATACCCAGCAGTAGAATTGCTCAATTGTATGGTAGTTCTATTTTTAATTTTTTGAGGAGTCTCTATACCGTTTTTAAACTGGCTTTACTAATTTACATTCCCACCAACAGTACACAAGGGTTACATTTTCTCCCCATCCTAGCCAGCATTTGTTATTGTCTTTTTGATATTAAGCATTCTAACAGGTGTGAAATACCTCATTGTGCTTTTGATTTGCATTTCCCTGATGATCAGTGATATTGACCTCCTTTTCATGTATCTGTTGGCCATTTGGATGCCTTGTTTGAAAAATTGTGTTTAGTTCCTCAGCCCATTTTTTAATCAGATTGTCGTTTTGCGGTTAAGTTGGAGGAGTTATTTATATATTTTGAGTATTAACCCTTATTGGATATATTATTTGTAAATATTTTCTCCCGTTCCATAGGTTGTCTATAATTTTTTGATGGCTTTTTATGCAGAAGCTTTTTATTTTGATATAGTCCCACTTGTTTATTTTTCCTTTTGTTGCCTTTGCTTCTGACATTATAAGACCAGTGTGAAGGGGCTTCTTCCCTATGTTTTCACTTAAGATTTATAGTTTCAAGCTTTATGTTCAAGTCTTTAATCCATTTTGAGTTGGTTTTTTGTTTAAGATATAAGATAGTGATTCAGTTTCATTAGTTTGCATGTGACTGTCCAATTTTCTCATCCAATTATTAAAGAGATTATCCTCTCCCTGTTGTGTATTTTTCACTCTTTTGTAATAGATCGATTGGCAATATATGTGTTCATTTCTGGGCTCGCTATTCTGTTGATCCATGTATCTGTTTTTATGCCAATGTCATACCATTTTGACTATCATAGGTTTGTAATATAATATGAGATCAGGAAGCATGATATCTCCAGCTCTTGTTTTCCTTTTTCAAGATTGCTCTGGCTTTTGGAGTCTTCTGTGGTACCATACAAAGTTTTGAACTGTTTTTTCTATTTCTATGAAAAAAATGCCAGTGGAATTTTGATAGAGTTCACTTTGAATCTGTAGATTGCTCTGAGTAGCATTTAACATTTTAACAATATTATTTCTGCCAATCCATGTTGCATAAAATATCTTTCCATTTACTTTTGTCTTTTTCAATTTCTTTCATCAATGTTTTATAGTTCTTAGTGTACTATGCAGATAGATCTTTCATCTCCTTGGTTAAATTTATTCCTAAGTATTTGTTCTTTTTTGATGCAGTTGTAAATGGAGTTTTAAAAAATTTCTTTCCTGATAGTTTGTTATTAGTATATAGAAATGTAACTGATTTTTTAAATTGATTTGTATCCTACAACTTTACTGAATTCATTTATTAGTCCTAACAGTTTTTTGGTGGAGTCTTTAGGCTCTTTTTTATATATAATATCATGTCATCTGGAAATAGAGACAGTTTTACTTCTTCTTTTCCAACTTGGATGCCTTTTATTTCTTTTCTTGCGTAATTGCTCTGGCTCAGATTTCCACGTGGTAAGAGTCAGCATCCTTGTCTTGTTTCTTATCTTAGAGGAGAATCTTTCAGCTTTTCACTGTTGAATATACTGTTAACTCTGGGTTTGTTGTATATGGCCTTTATTATGTTGACTAATATATTTCTACCCAGTTTCTTGAGTTTTTGTCAAAACTCAAGTGCAGTGTATCAATTTAATCTATCTTCCCTTCTCAAATTTAGCTTCATGTATGTTAATTCAGTAACTTTTTTATTCTTGGTTTATGTTTTATAAACTAAAGTTGGTATGTTAGACTCATGAGGTAAGACATTTAGTTTTCTTTTTCTAAAATTAGGGCTTCTGAGCAAATATGTAAATTTGTGCTAAGTTCATGCAAATTAATATTTCTCATTTGAACCAGGCATTGTGATAATTTTTAAATGAGCTTTGTATTTCTTATGTAAAGTTTTACTGTCTTAGGAAGAACAGAAGACCTATTGAGCATTTGTACTAAACTCCATTATAAGAATTATAATACAAAATACCTTTTTTCAGGGCCCCTTTTAAGAACAGAGCGCCACAGTCCATTAAAAGAAAAAATGAGCAGTGTTTAAATTTAATACCTGATATTGCATTCAGGATTTATCTTCAGAGACTTAGGTACTCTTAAATTGTAAACTCAACTCTATTTTTTTACATCCCCCTCCCCCACCCATCTCTATCCTGTTCACAGACCTATTTATTCCGAACTCCTGAAACAGATCATTGAGGTAAAAATTGAAAGGATAATTTAAGTCTGAAAGAAAATGTGGTTTCAGGTTCCTTGCTGGAGGTAGAGACGCCTGCTGTAGACAAGGTGGGGCCATGTACTTTAGGAGGGATGCAGGGTGCCTGGGGCGGGGAATGGCCAGCCGGCTGATTGCGGAGACCCGCTGGAACGCAGCGTTCTGTCTCTGCTCATCCGTGAGGATTAGGCCAGGATTCACACTGCACCTCATTTTAGGGTTCTGGATCTCGGGTGGATGTGGAGGAATAGTTTCTCACACGGCAGAACTGAATGCTACTTTAAGTCCATCTCAGTAGCTGAAGAAAATAAATGAGGTTTTTATGTTCATGGTACCTCCTGTACTTGTACCCAGTGTGGCTGGAGAGGCCACACATCATAGGGGAGCAGGCAAAACATGCATATGCTTCCAGATTGTTGTGAAAGAAAGAACTCAGTAAGTAGGCTAGTTGCTAGTATTTCTTGCTCTCCCATCTTTATGGTCTATAACAGCATTTCTCTGGGTATGTGACTTTTATTTTTCCCAATCTTACGGTGCAGGGGGAGATGAGTGGGAAACCAGGCTGTTTTATTTCTGCATCTCTCCATTAGGGAAGAAGGAAGCTCACGAGTGAATCTATTAGTTACATTGCCACAAATTTCTTAATCCAGTTTTTTTTTAAGTTATTTACAGTAATTGTGGACTGTACTGCATGTTGAGGCTAATTGGAAACAGTGACCAGATTCTTAATCATTGTCAGGAAACTGCATTCAGAGAATGAGAAGAACGCCCCCACTGGATGAATTGCAGCCACCACCGTATCAGGATGACAGTGGTTCTCCCCATCTCTCATGTACGCCCTCAGAAATTGGGGACAGTAAATGTGAATTTTCCCACTGCAGCAACAGTCCAAGATGCTCATATAACAAGTGCCCAAGTGAAGGAAGCACAGGTCATGAACTAGAAAGTTTTCCTAATAAAGGATATGAAGAAGATGTTCCCAGTGACAGCACTGCAGTCCTGAGCCCGGAAGTAAGTAACACAGCACCTAGAGCTTTTTACGTGGATGTTATTGGGGGATGATGATAACCCTGTGCTTCTCCTCTCGGTAAAAGGTTTTATCACTGTCCTGTCCTTGGTGGCTTACAGTGCCATTGTTATTCTTGATCTCGTCTTTATCTGGCAGACTTACCAGGACTGTCCCAATCATTCTCCATGCACCGCCCTCCGTTTTCTCCAAAAGGAGGATGGGTAGCTAAAAATGAGAGCAATTCACAAGCTACTGAAACATACAATCTTACCCCAGTTTCAGCCTCAAGAGAGGTCTTTTTTATTTTCACATTTTTTACAAAACATTCTGGAATTACTTATCTGTTTCTTTCATCTTGAGGTCCTATTTATGTGCTTTTTATTTTTAAAATTCTTTTATTTAGGATATTTTTACTTTAGGGAGATTGTTCATTCGTGTTTTATAGATTTTTCAAAAATAATGTTTTTGCATTTTCAATTCATGGGATATGGAAGAGATAAGTAATGCTCAGCTTTACTAATGAAACGTGAATGCATGGCGACATTTGTTCAGAGTCATTGGTTACATTTTATTTCCTGTTTTGAAGTGAAAATGACAACAAAAATTGGTATGTTGAACTTTTGAAGTCTATGTTCTAAGAAGGATTTGTTTTAATGTCCCTTTTATGATGAAAACCGAAAGGTAATTTAAAGGTTTCCATTAGGTAATACGTACTTTTACGGTTTTTTTTCCTCTCACATTGCAGGTTTTTACAACTTTTGTCCCAGACAACATTTCATAATACTGCAGTGTGTCAATGTTCTTACTGGGTGAATTTTCATCCTCTGCTAAAATTAAATAATGAAAGTAAAGCTATGAACAGAATTCCCTTAATTTTAAGTTTTTCTTATACAATTTCTAAAAACACATTTTATCTGTTATTACTTTTCTACTATTTCTTGTATTCTAATATAGTATCTAACTTAGAAGAAAATTTTCATTGGTATTTTAAGTTTAATACAACCAGGAGTCCATGATTTTCTACACAGAATCCTGCCCTGTGCCCTGTGCCTGAACTTATTTGAGACCCCTGTTCCGTAGGCTTGCTCACCCGAGAGACAGCCAACAGGCTGGCAGGGAAGCCTGGGTCATGGAATTACCCACAATGATAGCTGGCAACGAGTATGCCAAAGATTTTGCTATAAGCTTTACAGTATTTCCCATTAGTAACCTCATCTTCAGGAAGTTATTCCCATTTTATAAATGAAGACCTTGAGACTCAGAGAGGGAAGCAGTTTGCCTGCCTACCAGCACCTCCCAGATGATGGAGCTATCATCCAAACCCAGGTCGGCCTGACTCACAGGGCTCTTACCAATCATATCCTGCTGCCCCTCTTAACCTAAATCGTTGTGTGGGAAATTCCTTTGATGCTTTGGTACCCTCCCAGTGCACCACCAGGCAATTTGGAGGACTCATGGACCAAATTCAGATGCTCAGATTACATGTGTTTTAATCTATTTCACATAGAAAGTAAGAAGTGAGAGGAGCAAGATGAGCTAGGTGAACACACTTAGGATGCCTGTAGGTACAGGTGACAGGAACACACTGTGTGAGCCTTGATTTAGGGCATGCCCATATGTCCCTGTCACTCTTTATGCCCCATCAGTGTTCCCAGTGTTCCCTTTATATGGTATAGCAATAAGGGCACAGTTGAGTTTTTTGGTTTTTTTTTTAGGTAATCTGTACCCCTAGCGCAGGGCTTGTACTCACGAACCCCCAGATCAAGAGCCACATGCTCTACCAGCTGAGCCAGCCAGGCACCCCAAGAGTCGAGATTTGAACGGGGGTGCCAAGGGCCCAAAACTTTGTTTTCTGGAAGAGATTCAGGGACAAGTACTCCTGGTCATCAGTGAAACTTGCCAGTTTAGCCTTTTTATACGCACTTTGATCTAAGGAGCACACGGTTGATACAGCTGTTACTAGCTCAGAGGTGACATCATCATGGCTTAGGCTTTACATGCCTTTCTCAAGATAGTACTCATATTTTTGATTTATTATGTCTCTTTTTGGCATATATTCCATGTTATTAACTTAGTTACTATCTGTAGTTATTGTATCTTCTGAATTTTGCCTCTCAAGTTACTTCCTGATTCATTATTTATAGTTAATACAGCCTTTGCATTTTGCCCATATTTCAGAAGCCTCCAGCTTGCTCTCTGTTAACACTGATGAGTCTCTTGTATGCTGCTTGTTTTTGTGCCTCTATAGCAGAATTGAATATATTCAAACAAAACAGCAAGTGCACATTATATCAGTATCTAGATGCTTTTATAGCTCCTGTTAGTATAAAGCCCAATCTTGTGTTTTTTCAAGTTTATTTTGCTTCCTACTGTTCCTTTGATAAATATTATTTATCAAATAGAAAATTCTTACTTTCCTTTGGTTTATCCAGAATATAGCTATGTTAGAGCTCATTCACATACATGACTGAACTGAGATAGGACTGAGGGTTCCGGAAAGTTCCCTGACAAGGAGGTCACAAATTCTATTGACAACTTATTGCTAGCTAACAATGGTTCAAAACTTTACTTCAGACTCCTTGAAAGGAAGAATTATTTTCTAGCTGCCTGTTACAGAACACAAATAGTAGTTTTTATCTGTAAAGGTCTGCCTTTTAGCCCTCTCTGGAACCTTATGAAATTTCTTACTTCCTTGAATATCCTAGCTATTATGATACTATTTTAGAAAGCATTTCTTTGAAAAATCAAAACCATGTAATTAATCATCTTTGATTGCCAATTATGAAGTGGCATACATTAAAACATTTGCTCTAAGCTGTCAGTTTTCTTGACAGTAAGAATATGTTTACCCTGATTTCATCATATTCCATTTTAAAAAACCTGAATTCTTCTTTAAGAGTTTGTTGCCTCTCCCCAAGTATTGTTCTTCACTGGTTATCTTTCTTTTCATACATAGTACCAAGCAGGTCACCATAGGTAGACATGTCAGATTTTATGTAAAAGACCTGAGTGTTTTTGGTTCTCTACAGCACCCACACACACACCCAAAGTATGGCCAGGCTCATAGTATAACAGGTATGTGTTAAGCTGCTGTAATAAGAGACCAATACAGTGGCTAAAAACCACCAAAGATTGTCTTTCATTTAAAGACAATTCAGGGTGAGTAGGTGACTTTGTTCTACAATACCATTCAGGGGCTCAGGGTTCTGATGTCCCTGTTGTTGGTTTTTGTCACTCTGCCGTTCCCTGATGTACTTTGCTAGTCCGCAAGGTCCAGGCACACATCCTACGTGTGTATCTGCTTGTGGGAAGACTAAGAGAGTGAAGGGCAAGTAATATGTAAACCTGATCTGGAAGTTTCAGGCATAACTTCTGTTTGCTCCCCCATTGACGAAGGCCGAGTCTCATCAGCGTATCTGCCATAAGGCAAGTTTTGAAATACAGGCTCTTGCCATTCAGTGTTTTTCTGCCTAAAACTTAGGCGGTTCTTCTCAGAAATGGAAAAAGGGAAGACTGGGACTAGTAGTAGTGACTGCTACCATAGGCACTAAGGACAAGTTCAGAAACAGAAAATTGTAAAATTGGTCTACATTTCAAAATTAAAGACATTTAAGATTTATTAAAATACTTGATGGGGCAAAGTGGTATAGTTAAAAGGTCGGAGACCTGGGTTTGGCACTGTTGGTAACTAGCTGACACTCGTGGTACATTCCAGAGAGTTAGACTGGCAGGAATTTGAGACAGCTTCAGGTAGAATGGGTATAATTTCTTTCAGTCTCATAATCAAAATGTATAGTTTCAGCCCTTCTTGAACTTTTGAAGTATGTAGTCAGCAATTTTCAATAGTAATTGACATTAGGAAGTAATACATAGTTTTAAATTCAAATTAGAAGTTAAAGTGTAAAAAGTATGTGTGTGTGTTATGGAGAAGTGGTGTTTGGCTATAGTTATTTTTGAGGCCTTTGGATTTATCCTTTCGTATTTCACATTTTCATTGATTTCCAATCCTTAATATGTTTGTTTACATTCTATTACAGATGTGGATGTTTTAGAACAAACTGAAAATGGGACCATATTTTTCGATGGCTTTACACTCATATTTATGTTCTCTCTCTCACCAGCCTCATATGGAGCTGGCAGTTATGTTGTTTTTAATGTTGGAAATAAAATGTAGTAGTTTCCTACAAAAGGAAGAGAGATACACATTGAAATATATATTTTCAATTCTCATCATAAAGACATAGATCCAACTTTCTTAAAATTGGAGGATACTAAATTCTTTGTCTTTGCTCTACTAAGTTTTTGAGTTAAAGCTACCACTTTTACTGTCCTGGCCCTGTAGAGTAGCTTTTGATTGTAGTTGACTGTTAATTACTATTTCTTTCTTTCTGACAGCAAATCAAGACAATTTCCACATCATCTTCCTAAAGAAATGTCAGGTATTTATTTACATGCTAGTTTAAATAATAGAGCTAAAAACTGAAAACATTTAAATTTGCTTTTCTCAGGATATGTCAGCTCAAGGATCATCTTCACAGCTTCCTAAACCTTTTGATCCTGAGCCAGAAGCTAAATATGGCACACTGGATGTGACTTTTGACTATGACTCCCAAGAACAGAAGCTTCTGGTAACAGTGACAGCTGTCACAGATATCCCAACATATAACAGGACAGGTGGCAACTCATGGCAAGTACACCTTGTTCTTCTACCTATAAAGAAACAGAGAGCAAAAACCAGCATCCAGAGAGGACCATGCCCTGTCTTCACAGAAACATTCAAATTTAATCATGTTGAATCTGAGATGATTGGAAATTATGCTGTTCGGTTTAGACTGTATGGTGTACATCGCATGAAAAAAGAAAAGATTGTGGGGGAAAAGATTTTTTATTTAACAAAATTGAATCTTCAAGGGAAAATGTCATTACCTGTGATATTGGAACCTTCTTACAATCATTCTGTGAGTATCTGATCAAATAGCCTGAATACGATTTATGTCGTGGTATGTAACATCCATAATTTTTAAAATCCATGATCAACCCAACAACTTTTTCAATTTTTTTTATGTAATAATCATACCTTTACAAAATTTCTAAGCCCCGGATAGGTAGGTATAATTTTTTCTCATTCTATAAAAGTTGCCCTTGAAGATTATATGTGATTCATTTTATGTATTTTATCCTTCACAGAGTCAGGTCCAGAACGAATTACATGTTCGTTCTTGTTAAATATTTATTAGATGATTGATTATGACATCAAAGTGAACTCCTTGCAGAATTTATTGTTTTCTTTCCAGGTTAAAACTAAGTGATACAGCAAGATCTAGCCCCATATCTTACTTACTATACTGCAGAAATTATTTGCTTTTTTAGCTATGTACTACTGCTGAGCTCATGACTGATTATCTTTCCAGAACTCCTATGAAATTAGTTTTAAAGGTTCAAAAGAAGACCTGGCCTTGTTATACTCTGCGCCCTTTTAAAAAAAAGATTTTGCCGTATCTCTGGGAGAATACTTAAGTTTGGTCTATGAGGTGTTCTCCCTTTTCTTTTCTTTTCTTTTCTTTTTTTTTTTCCCTCCAGGTTCTCATCACCTACAGCTCTCTCTCTCTGTCTCTCCATATTTGTAACTAACCTCCCACAAGACATTGCAGAGCACAGGAGAGCTGAACTACTTTAAACTGGGAAGATACATTATGCCACATAGTTATTTAGATAATGAGAAAAATCTGTGATAGGCTATAAGTGTAAATTATGAATTATATTTATTCCTCCCTGTGTTATATTGAATTAAGAGCATTTTTATAATACAAATACAGAGATTTTAGAATGGATGTGTGTCTTTAAATGAAAGTGTATTTTAGAGTTTTTTAAGCTTTTAAAGCACAAGTCCAGAATCAGAGCCTCACTGAATTTATACCAGACAACATTTGATCTTATAGGACACTCATTCACAATAGTTGGGTTTTTTTTTTCACTATCCAATTTTAGCTAGATGATTTTAAAACATATTTAAAACCAAAAGGTGATAATAAATATGATATATCCCTGCTGGTTTATAGGACAATATTTAGCCTTTATTGATAACTTGTTATAACTTTAAATTGCAGAATTACCATTTTGGGGAAATGTCCTTTTTTAAAAATATAATATCAGTTTATCAGAGAAGAGAAAAACGAAAGTCCAGGCAATATTCCAGAGGGGAAAAAGATAATTTTTTTTTTATAAAATTGAATAGTCTGCAGTTCTTAATAGGATTTTAAACTTTCTCATGATTTGGTCTGAGTGATGACTAGTTAATCTGTGGAAAATACATTCTTTTAGAGAAATACCTGATTTAAATTAGAAGAGAATGACTATATCATCACGAGGTATGTATTTTGTGTTTATTTACTTCAAAGTATCTGTTCCCAATTCTATATTAATTATATTCATTTCACAAAGGAAATGAAGCCATAGAAAATAATATGGTTTTATCTGTGGTCAAACTTAATTATTTCTGTACATTACATGTATTAGCTTATGGTCATCAATTCTGTGTTTCTGACAGCCAATACAATAAATTTGAGGCGTGCTCAGCAAAACACGTGCCGGACAAACAGCTTCTAAGACATAACATTTAAATCCGAATAAAACTATCCATCTTCTGCTCTTGGAGAATTTTTTTCTCTACATTGTCACACTTTTCAAATTTAATGCCTGTATTTAATTGTTCTTCTCTTTTGTCTCCTTTCCTGTTGAAAAACATGAGTTCTTTCTACTAACTAGTTGTGGTTATAACCTTGGATAAATGATCTAATCCCTTTAGGCATCAGGTTTCTCATTAGTAAAATGAGGGCATTAAACCAAATGTCCCATCTATTTCTGATACTGCAATTCTACTAATTCATATTGGGAAAGATGTTAGGTAAGAACAGAAACAGGTGGATTTCAGATGAGTTTTATGTGCTAAATGTGTTGTGTTTTGTTCAGGCATTGATTATGTTTTCTTACTCTTCCCTATCTTTTCAACCATCTTCTAATGTCTGAGAAAGCCCCAACTACTAGTCCCACCCCCTACAGGTAAGCTATAAAGTTCTTTCCCAGTCTGACTGGTAGCTAGAGCAGGAGCCATGCTCCCTGGGCTCTGCGACTCTGACTCATTTCCAGGAAACCTCAGGGCAGACTGAGCAGAGAAGCAGGTGCTGCACTCCCCTCATGCCTGCATGAGGCCGATGGTGGAGGAATCTGGTCCTCAGGGTCAGTAGTAATTCCCAAACAGCTCTGCAGGTGCAGAAGCAGTATTGGTGCTAGACAGCGACAGTTGCAGGAGAGAAAAGACCTTGGCACGTAAGTGTCCAATGGGGGCGGCAGCAGGATGTCCTCACCAGGCCAGTCCTGCAGGATGGTTTTCAGTTTTGTTCTTCAGAAGCTTCCCCATAAGCCTGTTCTCTAGTCGTCCCGATTCCTTTAGGACATTGCTGTTCCACTGAGACTTAGCTGCCAGTGATTTCAAACAGAACCCTGACTGAAAAATGTTGAAATAGCCATACGGTGTATTGTTTACTTGTTTAAGTGATCTCTTAGGCCATACTCAACAGCTGGAGTGTTGGCAGTTACCCTTCCTACCGTGGTGTATCCCTCTTATAACTGGAATTTTTCTCTTATGCTCAGCGCCGTGCAGATGGCACTCTTCCCCAGGGGAGAACCCCAGTCACCCTCTTCACCTGCATTTTTGGCACCGCATTACTACCGTGTGTAACAGTTGCCTGCATCAGCCTCTCCTCCTTTCCTCAGTCCAGTCGTATTTCTCATTCAGCCTCCCAGATTTCTTAACGATAATCTTCACTCTGTCTCTCACAAACATTCACAATCCTTCCTTGCACAGACAGTATTTAGTTAGCGTAATGTACGCAGGGTGACTGGCTAGAAAATGGGGGGCTCCAGTCCCACAACTGCAAAGCACTGCATTCAGCTAACATCTCGAAGGAGCTTAGAAGTAGATTCTCAGCCAGAGCCTTCAGGTAAGAATAGCCCAGCCCAGCCGAAACTTCGATTTCAGTCTTGAGACACACAGAAAACACGAGGAAACTGAAGTTGTAAGGCTAGAGCTACTTACTAGGTGCTTTTTGACCCCGAGGCATTTCAGGTGTGACGGTGTAACCAGAAGTCTACAGAGGTTGATGTATCCTCAGGGAAGAGTTGGATTTGGGTTGAAGTAAGATGTTGGGGTTCAGAGAAGAAACTAAGGTTCCGGAGGAGTTTATCATAGATCAGGAGGACCAGAAGGCATAGTGAAAAAATTCAGAAAAGGAGGAGTGTGATGGCAGTTTGTGGTAGTGAAGAAATACAGAGAATAACAGAATGGGTGTTAAAGCAAGAGACCTGGCCAATGTCATGAGGGATTTGCCTTCATTTAGATTTCTAAAATGTCAGTCCCGATTATAATTTGAATCTACTTAAATCTCAGATGTTATTTAAAGTCTAATTTAAATCTCATCTTTATAGAAATTTGTTAGACTGTTTCTAATACAAATTTAAATTAGTTGATCTTATCTGTCTCTGTAGACCAAATAGCGAGTACTGGTTATTGCTGTGTGAATGTTGGTTGGATGGGTGGGCGAGTGGGTGTGTGTGGTACATATTATTTCTCAGTTATTGCCTCTGGTGCTTGTTTCTGCAGCTAGTCATACATTTTCTTGTTATTGAACTTGTTCTATGTCTTCCTTCTAGATTTTAAATACTTTGAGAATAGAGTCTGTTTGACTTAAATGGTTTTAGTTATACTTACTTTTCATAGAACCTAGAATATAGGTGTTCAGTGAATACTTGTTAAATTGATTTCATTAACGTATTCAGGTAAACCTGATAGTTCTGAAATTCTTACTGAGATCCATACTCGGGTAAGTATCAATATCCTTAAAATAGCCCTGTTAGGAATCTTTTATGACCTAGAATCCAATAATCATGATCTTAGAGTAATTAAGTAGGAACACATCACAATGTATTGCTTCTAAATAATAATCAACGAAGGACATGTATGTTCATATAATTCCCTATTCAAGAGTTTAATGCCACAGTCTTGTAGAGTGATCAGCCTTCCTCATGACTTACTGAAATGAAGATCTTCTTTTAGATACCTGCACTTTCAATCTTTAATTCCTAAAATTTCCTGTATCTCAAAAATAGCCTTTTTTTTGTTACTAGACTGAATTAATTTAGTTTGATATTTATACTGTGACTTTTATTTTTAAGACAGGTAAATTATTGCTTATACTCTGTAATTGAAATGTGTGTCCCTCTAAGAATCATACTTTAGTCTATATTATTAGCAAATGTCTTTTAAAACTTGGCTTCTCCTATTTTCATATTCACTACGTTCACATACTACCTTGTCAGAAATTTACATTTTCTCAATGTAGATTACACTTCTTCATCCTAAAGCAATTTAAAGTAGATACTTCATGATAAACTAATGATCACTGTTAACAGTTACCACGTGAAGGTGAAAGCTGCATATGTGCAATTCAGGTCCCTAGACAATAACACTTACATGATTCATGGCTCACTTTAGTATAAAACTAAATAGTTACAGACCTATTTAGAGACAGTTATTCAAAGTAGTTGAGCATATATTATCAGTGGAGAGGAATAACTCTAGTCTCACATGAAGAATTGTTAACAGGTAAATCTTTCAGTGAAAGAAGTGAAATTAGAGCCTAAAAGGAAGCTTTTTGTTTAAATCAGATTCTTACTTTATGTAAGACTAAAAAGAAGTCAAGTTTAAATCCTATGTCTCAAGAAATTTTGAACATGCAGGAAAATTGAGTGGGAAAAACTGAAATCTCAGTGGTTAAACTATTTGTTCTGTATATTGAATATAGGGAATAAAGAACATCAATTCAACTGGGATTCATTTCATTGAACCATCCAAGACTAAACTATAAACCACTGGACCAATATGTACTTCATTCTTGTTTCG